AGTGAAGTGGCGTAAGCGAAAGTGCTAGCAAGTTTCATATCACCTTCAACAGCTGAACATGGGGGATGATAGATGCAACCTATAAGATAGGAAATGGAGTGAGACAGCCTTAGAATAGCCCAGACTAAGTCATTATCTGTGATGAGCTCTGGGTAGAGGCACTGTGTGGCCTTAATATCAGACCTGATATACATAGCACATCCTCCTCCTCTGCCGTGGTTTCTGTCACCTCTGAATACGTAATAGTTATCAATAGAAATATCTTTATCGCATATCTGCGGAGTGCACCATGTTTCAGTAATCATTATAAGAGACGGGTTGCATATTAAGGATAATGTCGTGAAGTCAAACATTTTGTTAATTAAGGAGCGAGCATTGATGAGGCAGATTGAGAGAGAGTTAGGGGTGACGATGAAATCGCATATATCTTTAAAAAAATTTTCCTCAAGGTTTGTAGCATCTAGAGAAGATTGTTTGATGGGTGCTAACTCAGATGGTGGCAACGTACTGGCAGTGCTGGAAAAGTGCACTACACCAGTATCAGCACAGAGAGATGTGCTATCGTTGGTTACCCCGGCGGGTGTGAGGTGTCCATAATACCGTGACTGAAATGCATCGCCCTCCCCTCCGGTGATAAGTAGCTTGACAGTATGTATGCTATTTGCGTCAATATTGAGGCTGAAATTTCGTGTTGGCTGAGAAAATTTAGATTGGATGAAGGGGAGGTAGGTATTTCTTGTGGATAGTATGCTGGAGTAAAGTTACGCGCATCGCAGTTATGATTAATATTTTGTGTGTTCAAGTTATTTTCGTAAATATTAGTCCATCGATTATCTTGGGTGGACTGTATCCGGTGGTTGTCAGGGATGTGGTGAGTCAGAAGGCCGCTTTTAGGAAAGAAGCCTAACCCACTTGTTCCTTGTTGTAGGGGTCTCTGGATCAAACTTTTGTCTACATTAGCCATAGATAGGAGAGTTGTGTCGGGGTAGGTGCATGCCTGCCCGTAGGGTTTCAACTTATTTTTAGGGTGCCCAGACATATAGCGTCTGTTTTGTCTATCGGATGAAGATTTGCTCGATGTTGGATGAATTGGCGGGTTACCTCTCCTTTCATTGACGTTATATTTATGGTGGTATGAAGACTTATTCAGCTTCCCTGGGTTAATGGTGGGATTGGAGTCACTTAAGTTAGTGTTATTTGGTTTGCTGTTGAGTAACCTATCAGTGACGGGTTTGAGAGAAGGTATTCTGGATGGCAGGGTTATTTTACTCCGTTTTGTGTGCACACTACTGTGAGTGCTACTCGGGGAGGTTATATTGAATGCTACATTCTCAAGCTTAGCCTTTTGCGTAGTGGTATTAGCAGCTGATGGTGATGTGTCTAGCGAGCATAACTCTAAAGATGCATCTAAGTCTATGGCCATATTTGCTTCACTGTTGAGTTTACTAGGTAAAGCTTTATTATTTAAGGGTATTTCTTTTTCACGCGTGTCTGTAACATTAGGTTTACTTAAATCTAAGGCGAGAGAGTCTTTTGTAGGACATTCTGCAGTTACGTATGTGTTTGCGACACTTGGTGCACTTGCACGGCTACGTCTTTGACATGGAGTTAGGTCATGAGTAAGTTTAACGTTGCCATAAGGTGTAGATGAACTAATTAGCTTGTTAGACGACTGGAATTTCCTAGCATCATTAGGACTACTGAATTTAAACAGCACAGGACAAGTTTACTTTCCTGATTTTTTCCTGAGTCTGATTAGGTGGCTATTCGCTGATGGCATACCACACGCTTGGAGACATGTCACTTTAATTTTGTCCAGAGGCGTCCGGTCAGGCAGATTGTAAGCAAGAACATTGTACGAAGACATGACACGTTTAGTCACTTCATTGGCTATAAAGTCTAACATACGCTCAGCCTTCAGCAGACTTTCCGGATTACTATCATGAGTTGGGTTACATAGAAGCAGTAACGGCTTAATGGTGTTTATATTATCATTTTATTCCTTCACAGAGTTTCCTAGAGAAATAAGGTCCAACTTATTTTGTTTAGCAGTTGTGTATACCTCTGATAACAAATCGGACACAATGACTTCGGGGACGTTGTTGAGGCCAGGTGGAACGTGTAGGGATGTACGTATCTTCTTGGCTGAGTGACCCAAACTATTCTTACGTATAGAAAGTACTCGTTTATTACGTTGAGTCATTGTTGAACACGGATCAGTATGGTTTGAAGTAGAAGCTGAGCTAAATCGAAAACAAGTATAGGGACAAATAATATATCGAGGGGATATATAAACTAAGAACTACTATAGGCACGGTATGGATTTTATTGCTTATAGATAAACAATAAATCGCCAAAAGTATTAAACCGTAAAATACAGATTATATAGAAACCAATTGTCCTAAAAATTGATCCTGATTTATAAACCAAAATATAATGAACTTCTCTATAGTTTTCCTTAGTGTGACGTTGTTCTTAGATTATAAAAAGGAGGATGAGCACTGGGAAAGAGTGGATCCAAACTTGATAACTGGCGGTGATATAACTGCGTATTTGGAAGCTAAGGTAGCAGCTAATATAAGTTAAAGTTGATGAGTGGTATAATATCCACTACAATATTCCAGAAATCAGTAAAAATATATCCACGTTAGTTGGCCCAAGCTTCAGTCTTCAGACCCTGAACTGGCCCTGATTTACGAACGTGTTCGAAGTGGAGGCGAACGACCAACAGCCCAGGAAATAAGTAAGCTTGGATGGGAAACTCGGTGTTTGTGGGCTCTGTGGGACAATTTGAAAATTGTCGATAACATCCTTTACTACCAACATGGGCCCACTTATACTCGCCGCGTTGTGGCACCACAGTCGGCACTACCCACGGTACTGTTGTCATTACACCAGCAGTTAGGCCACGCGGGCTCAGGTAAGATGATAGAAGCAGCTAAAAGGCGTTATTGGTGGCCTCATCAAAGAAAGGATATCGTAGATTTCTGTGACTCCTGCGAGGTATGCCAAACCATTAAGGCTCCACACAAATATAATAGGGCACCCTTAGAACCCATTATAACTGGCCATCCAAATGACTTAGTGCAAATAGACTTGGTTGGTCCTCTCCCAGTAACCTCTAGAAATAATAACTATATATTAGTCATGGTAGACCATTTTACCAAATGGTGCGAGGCTATCGCGATTCCTCAGATTGATGCTGTAACCATCGCAGAATCAATTTTCGACCACTGGGTCAGCCGTTGGGGGGCACCACTTCAGCTACATTTAGATCGAGGATCCAACTTTGAAAGTATCGTTGTTAGTGAACTCTGTCGCATAATGGGTATTCGTAAAACACGCACTACAGCATACCACCCACAAGGAAATGGTTTGGTTGAACGCACTAATCGGACACTAAAATCACTTCTGCAGGCATTTGTAGATCAAAAAACCCTCGGGAATGGGACAGTTCTCTCTCGCAGTGCTTAATGGCGTACAGAGCAAGCATTCACAAAGCTACGCGTCAAACGCCTCACTACATGATTACCGGAAGAGAACTCCGGTTGCCAGTTGACTTAACTTCAAACACACTAGGAGATGACACGCTGTTAGCATCAGAACACGTTATCAAACTGAGACGTAACCTAAACAAGGTACGCCAGATGACTAGGGATATACTTCAAACAAATCAGAGGTATCAGAAGGAATACTACGACAGGAAAGCACATGGATCACCCGTGGAGCCCGGAGACAAGGTAATGTTACTGAAGGAGGCACCGCCTTAAGGGAAAGCTCTTAAATTCCATAAACGTTGGAATGGACCATTTACGGTAGTAGAGGTACTTAGTGACTGCACATGTAGGATCCAGGGTCCCAATGCCGCTCATAGTCTAGTCACACATTTTAATAGACTGAAACCTTTTCGGTAACAAGCCTTAGTTCAGACAAGTCCCGCACTAACAGCCGCCTAGCACTGTGGACAGTGCTCCTATAGGAGAGGGGGTAGTGTAAGGCCTGGTAAGTAAGCGGTTTTCTAGTGTTTAAACTGTATGTTTATCTAATTTCAGGTTGGCCACGTAGCGTACAGGGATTGGTCGCCCAAGACGACGCAACGGATGACCAATAGGAGGGCTCTTCCCCTCTCCCCTAATTGTATTATGATTGGTTGTAAATAAACTCCTTGACCTTGAGTCTTCGTTCTTACTAGCACGCTGCTAACGTGCGCTTTGCTCTCTGTTTCAGATCATTGCTTGACGATTGGCCCTACACCACTCTCTAGATTATACATATGAGCGTTTGCTATACTGCGCGCAAAAGTATCTCGCGATAGCTTTTATAACCACTAAATGTTAACATTATTACGCTTGACTATTACGCTTGACTAAAGTAAATTGACCAGAGCAAACGGTCAACCTAATAACCTTGACAACCATGATTTCGCTGTGTATTGTGTGAACATATCAACCATCTGTATTCTCGCCAAAACAAGCAACATCAACACCTCAAGCTAACACAGTGACCAACTACGCTTCTCAACAGCATTCTATTTCTGCAGCTAAGAAGCACGTACCAACCTACTGTTTTGATAAGTGGTCACTCGAAGGTCACGCGTCTGATATACAGTTTCTCATAAACCAGCTTCAGGTCGCAACTTCAAATCGCTGCGTTACTGAGGATGTCAACAGTGTTTTCGATTGTGGTTTGAAGTTATCTGCTCGAAAACCCTATACATTGTCCGCAATTATTTCCAAAATGTCTTTTGACCTGTTTCTCGGCCAATATTCCCCCTCTTTTGTTCGCTAACTATCTCCAAGCTATCTGAAAATAATAAAGTTTCAGTTGGTTCACTTATAATATGGCTCAAAGCCAAATTGGATCGATAATAGATGTAGCAAAAACAAATTATCCGTCAACCCTAAGGTTTTGCATGTGCTGCTCCGCTGCGTTTGTTTCTGAAACGAGTGAGTGATGCCTACCAATATACCATTTACCACCTTTAGTCACCTACCCACTCGACATATTGAAGACTCGAATTCAGGTTTACGGAGAATTGCAGTCCTCATCATATCCTGGAGTTTATAAAATTTGTGCATCAGTTATCAAGAATGAAGGACTGTTTCAGCTGTGGCAGGGTTTGTCACCTGCTCTCTTTAGACATATTAGTAAGTACTGCTGTGTTTTTCTTAGTTTATGATTTTGCTTTTGAAATGGGTCAGATATATGCACATGAAATATGTTAAGCTCTTGCTGCTTTTGCTATTTCGATAAGCTATGATCATAACTTTGTTGTTATCCGTAGTAGACACACTTCGAATCTTTCGAACGAAACATTGTCAGAATTATTGGTAGAGATATCTGCCGATGACTACCTAGCTATTCATCAGTATGCTTACTAGCAGAGCCGAAATTTCTGTGTTGTTATTTCCGAAATGCACACAAGTTTTCTTGGAATTTCGGAGAAGTTAATGCACATTCTAACACTGTATTTGTTTAAATCTCAGTGATATTAATGTGTTGCATTCATTATACTGGTCTGAACGTTGGAAAAATAATCAAGATTAACACGCTAGAGTTATACTTAAATGGCCGGTCACATCTTGTGTGTAAACTCTTTCAAGCACGCTTAACACATTTGATTGAATAGAGTTATTGGTATTCATGTCCCATTTTTACTGTCTATATCTAGGTGAATTGTTGTTCAGTATATTGTTTCTTCGATGGGTAGTGATTAATTGATTAAAGTAAATGTAGCCTACCTCCAGTTCAAAAAACTGACTAATGAACAAAAAACATTCTTTTTGATAAATTCGTCATCAGATGGTATGACCATAAGACTATAATAATCAGATAATTATTGTCATTAACAACATTAATGTTTTAAGTTACGTTGAGTCAGTCGCATTGATAGATTACATTTCAAAAGCACCAGTTAAAGATAATAGGCATCGGTATAATACTAAAGTGATTATCAGATAACTTAGGGAAAGTAACCGGATTTATGAATTTAGAAGACAAGCGGAGAAAATTTTCTTCATCGACAGCGTCATCTTCAGAGGCTGTACAGTCGTATTTATAATTACCAAAAATGTATAGTAGTCTATTATTGAGTAATAGGGGGTAACATAATTGATATAATTACTCAGAAGTGGCTTTAGAAGTGGCACAAAGTTAGAAATTTGATAAGGTTAACATTGCTGTTGAGTGAGAATAAAGGTAGTTGAGTGTCGATTTAACAAGTGTGAAGAGGGTGTGAAGATGTACAAAAGGAACATATGAGAGTGATAATAGTGAATTAATTATTAAAGTAAAAGCAAATAATTTTTCAAATTTTCAATTTTAGTTTGCTTTTACTTTAATAATTAATTCACTATTATCACTCTCATATGTTTCATAGTTTCAGAACCACAACTGGTTGTGTGGGAAGTATAGGTTTGAGCTAACTGGAATTAAACGTTCTTTGAATCAAATCTCTGAACTAGTTCGTTATTATTTCATCACATTCTATACAGAGGCTTATTCCGAACAGATCTAGAAAAATCGTTTCCTACTCTCTTGGTTATGCGTTTAGTGGTGAACTTTTCAGGGTATCTGTTTTCAATTAACGCATCGTATACAACCTTAAATTTGTCTTCAATGCCATTTCAGATAAATAGCTCTGACTCTGTAACTGAGGTTCTTTACCAAATTTCTTTTGTACCAGACGTACAAAGCTTCGAAAATGTGTATATTGACCGGTTCAAGTACTTTTCTTATGCGAGTTCCTTTTTATACTACCGTCCGATCTGCTTGTCAGTAGGACGTCTAAAAAGGCAATTTTACTTTTGCATTCTTCTTCACACGTGAATTTGGTAGTCAAATGTGTTTCATTGAATTGAAATATTACTTTCCTGTCGAAATCACTTTCAAAAAAGATGGCAGTAAAGTGGACACTTCCATTCCGATTATCCCGATCATCATGTTGATCGACTTTACGGGATTCAGTGATGAGAAGCATTCACTAAAGCGTTTGCTATTAACTAAACTTAGTTTCTTAACAAGTCATTAGTTCATGTCATCTAACCGTACTACTTCCGAATCTTTAACTTTGTCTTATCAGGAATAATCTGTCGCTAAAGCAATACAGTTCCTGAAATACATATAGAAATATTACGGTGTATACTAGTTTAATTTGAATGGAGGATGCTTGTTAGTACTTTAAATGAAGTGAAGGGCAAGTGGTTCGTATATTAGAGCAATTATTCAGGTATGTGGGTGAAGTCGTCGAGAAGAAATTTTTCACTGAACTACTTACCATTTTCTTTTTATTTGATTAATGTGCCAACAGCAACTCTAGTGGATAGTTATGTAAATGTACTGTAGATTTAATGAGAATTTTCAATAGATGAGTCAATTAAAAACACGTGCTTCATTGCTGTCTGACTTGCAGAAATTATGGTTTTAATGACTGTGTTGAAAAAAAGATAAAAGAAAAGGACACCACAACCAATTAATAGAATTTAGCTCTTAAACGTCGTTACCATCATCATCACGTGGTTCATCATACAATATCTTAAGTAAAACCTAAAGATGTTATGAAGTCATTCAAAAGATATAGGGTTATGAATGAACTAGTATTCGGACGCATTCTAATGTATTTGAATAGTGTAGCAATATGTCTTACACCTTCAGGCGTAATGTGCTGTCTTAAATTGACTGAAATGTTTTGGCTTTAATTCATCCACCCTCTATTTTCAAATTCTTTAGTCCTGCTTAATACAGTCAATAAATGTCATGCTTTTTGGGTATGGCCTGTTTTTTTATTCCTTCACCTTCCCAGTGGGGCATAGGGCTTCAAGCTAGAGACTTGGAGTTTCTGTAGCAGGGTTTATGTTTACGGGATGGGGTTGCTAGCCTCATGCCAAACCTTCCCTCTCTACCAGTCTTATTACTGGCTTAGTGAGGTAAAGAAGTACGTCGGCACAGCGGTAGAATGCTCGCCAACCACGCAGGTGGTTCGGGGTTCGGCCCCCGGCCAATGTACTCCTTTACCTCGCTAAGCCAGCAGTAAGACTGGTAAAGAGGGAAGGTTGGGCATGAGGCTAGCAACCCCATCCCGTGAAAATGAATACCACTGCTACCAAAACTTCATGTCTGTAGCTTGAAGCCTTATGTTCCACGGGATATGACCTGTATACCCATGTAATTCATAAACCTCCCTGGGTAACATGGCAAGGAATCTAGCCACTGGATACAGTAACACAATAGGATGGGATTATGTGATAACAGTAAGAAGTAACATATATATTGTATAGATGGTCATAAAGGTTGATCATAAAATCCTTTGCCCACGTCACTAATAGTTAACACGTTAGAGGGACGATGCTACATCGATCGTAGATATTAGAGAGAAAGTAGAACCATATAAATCACGACAGAAAGTTCAGTGAATACATTGATATGATTATGGGCAATAAATTGTATTCATAAAGTCATCCAGTAGATAATATTGTTTCAATCAATGCTTTATATATTCAATAAACAAATTAATATAGAATAAAATGTGACCACAGTGTTGAAGTTTCACACATTCATCAGTTTGATTACATTTCGTCGATATAATACTTCAAGCATGACGTCCAGCACATATTTTAATAGGAGTTTATTAAAACGCTATTTTCAGAGCGAACATAATACTATGAATACTGGTTTTTAGCAAGTTTATGTAACATGTTTTTCATAGTAACCTGGTGAAAGTTATAGTTGTTTTAGTCAGTTATTTATTATTTTTTTAAATGTTGTCCTATTTCTGAAAATTGTCCTGCATACAAAGAAGAATCACTTGTGATGCGTGCACTTAAGGGTTTTTCGCCCTTGTGATTCATGCTTCTTAGCGTTCCATCATTTTATAGTGTGGCTCTTATCAACTAACTACGGCATTGATTTAATAAAAAATAAAGAAATGTAGGAACAGATGGGCTTTTAACAGTATACTCATTGAGAAATTTTCTGTTAATGTAATTGTCTGTCTGTCTGTTTTCGACATAGAACTTTGCACATATGTGCGGCAGTTCAAGTCGCCAAACTCCACCCACGTAGCACACAAAGCAAGAGAAGAAAGTAGAAGAAATGCATAGTATAGTCAGTAAACAGGGATATGAGACAAAGGAATAGTAATAACGAAGAACGAAACAGTTTCATTGGAGATCATAAGTCACAAGGAGTGGATGCATCTGCACCAGCCATTGAGAACGATTTTGAGCCATGTCACCAATTGTTTCCAACCATTGAATTTTACCGTCCCGAGGACCCCAACCAGTCAGGAAGTCTACACCTTCCTACGTGGCTTACACTAACTGTTGTAGATTTCATTGACTGGTTCTATGTTTTGGTTTGACCGCCGCTAGCTCTTTTCCAGCCTGACCCAATGTCAGCTACCGCTGCCCGTCGTCGAGGAAGGCGATGACTAGGCATACGTAACACATGTCCTAACCATCTCAGTCGATGTAATTTCACAGTCTCTTCGATTGATTTCCCCTCCCTCCTTACCTAGCACTCGACTGAAGCCTAACCTCAATATTGCTCACCTTATTATACCACTTCATACGGGAGATAGAACGCAGACACCTATGATCAATGACAACTAATCTTTTCATGTCTTCTACTCTCAATGGCCAGGCCTTGCTCACAGCCACCCTTCGGTCGATAACCGGATATCACGTTTATGCTAAAGACGGCGTAAACTGGCATATGAGAAACTAGCCCTCTGCATCCGTGCTGTGATTTCGTCAGAGATCAACCCGTTGGCACTGGCTGATGGTACTTCCCAAATAAATGAAGCGGTGAACGTGCTCTACCACTTCACTTCCTATTTCTAATCTAGGAGTAGGTGTAGTCCAATCCTGTAACATCATCTTGCATTTGGTGGGAGCGAATCGCATGCCAAACATTCGTAGATTGCAGCTCAAGGTGTTCAGAAGACTCTGCGTTTTGTCAGTGTTAATGTAATTAAAATCTTTAATATCAAAGGTGACTGACGTAGAACTATGCACAAAAGTGTAGTAGTTCAAGTCGTCACAATTCATAAAGCATACATAGAAGGTGTAAAGGAAAGAGAAATTCAGGGAAACTATAGGAGACAGAAATGTATGAAGGGAAAGGTAAATTAGACGAGGAAAAATGGGGT